CAGTGGAGAAGCCTGACATTCACCACTGAATCTGGTGATGAACACCTGCTGCCAGCATGGTACAAGGTGACATCACACCCCTCCTGACAGGACATACTGAGAACCCAACTTCACTTCTGTGGTCTCCCTGCCAGAGATGATAACCTGAATCTACCCATGAGAAACACCTGACATCCCCTTATTTTAGAGGGGCATCTTGCAACGTGACTAACCTGTAATCCTCCAACAGGTCAAGATTGAGTTGTTCCTGACTGAAGGTGAATAGAGATGTGCTAACTAGAGACTGCACCTGATCCTAGGCTGAATCTTCTGTTATAAAGGACATCACTGGGGCAACTGGCACAATCTGAATGGGGTGTATGGGTTGGACAGTCACACTTATCCATGTGAATTTCCTGTCTGGACAAGTGGTCGTGAGGGAGAATATCCTTGTTGTAGGAAACACACTAAAGTATTTGAGGATGATGGAGCATCAGGACAGCAACTTACTTGCAGATAGCTTGGGGGAAAAATTTCTTTCTATCCTTCTTACCACTTTTCTAAGTCTGATATTGTCTCAAAACTAAAAAAAAAAGAATCCTCAATGACCTCAATCACATTTTGAATAAAATCTAACCTACAAGACTTGTGGTCCTCACCCACTTCTCCCACCTGCTCTCTGTCTGCCATATCCCAGGTCACACACAGATGCTGAGCTCTCTCCTGCCCCAGGGATCCCTTCCATGTTCCCCATCACTGGGAACACATCCCACCACTCCAGCTCTGTCTCACACTTAGTCTCAGCTCTCTAACCACTTATTCATTCAACAGTAACTTTCACTGTGTGCCAGACACTATTCTCCATACTAAGGATGAAGGAGTAAACTAAGCAGAAAAAAATACCTGCTCTGATGTAGCACACATTTTATCGGGGGACACAGACAAACACCTGCTACCAACAGATCATATCCTTACTGTAGAAAAACCAACAGGTACAGAAACTGAACATTAACCACACTTGGCTAAGGCATTATGTGTTTATTCTCATTAAATTTTTCAGCACCTAATGAAATGCTATTATTCTTCCCACCTGACAGATGGAAAAATGAGGCAGAGAGACCAGGTCATCTGCACAGGGTCTCACGGTTGGTCTGGCCGTCTTCAAAACCCTTCTCCTTGCCTGCCCTATCATTCTTCCTCCTTCTAAGGTTCCAGTGGAAATAGATGTTGGCTCAGGAGCCAAGAAGATAAAGAGGAGAACTGTGTTATTTCTGAACAGATGGGGGTTTTCCACAGTGACCTACTAAACTCAGAACAACACAGAGGCCATGGGCCAGCCTGACTATGCATACAGCCCCTCACCAGGGCCCAGACACAGGGCCTGGCACTGTATAGACTCAGTAACTGCAGCCTGGTAACTGCTAGGACTTTAAGTTACAAATACTTCAATATCTATTCAAATATTCACTATCAACTTCAAGTATCTATTCAGCCTATAAAATGGAGTTTTTTTGAAAATAAGATTTCTATATGACGGAAGTGACAGTATCAGCAAGTTACTCATCCCAGTGTAAAACATGCTGAGTTACATTCAGGGCTTTTCATGGAAGTCACTAGGAAAAGGGTAGGATGATGAACATTTAAAGGTTGTGTTGAAGGGTCTGTGGCTGGTCACTGGTGCAGGTAAATGATTCTTTTATTTAATGGAAAAGAATTTAGTGTATAAAGATGTCAAAGATGGATGACTGATGGGAAGTTCTGAGAAGGCTGAAGGGAGCAGGGTGGGATGGGGAACCAAGGTAAAGGGGTTTATCTGTGTGTGGCCACAGCGAGACGCACCTGATAACCGTTTGAGGAAAAGCAGTGTCATCTCCTGGCAGAGAGGGGAGGGACAGATCGTAGGGTGTGGAGGAGAAGGGAGAAAGTCTGAAAAAGCCATCAAAGTTTGAAAGAATGAGGTTGACAGGCAGAGTAGAAGCCCTGAAAGGTGAGAATGGTGAGGGCAATGATAAAAACATGCAGACCAGGAAACCAGAAGAAAAAACTCAAAGGGTCTCAATATTTAAGTTTACACGTTAGGCTGAAGAATAAAAGCTGTTTTAAAGAAGTCACTAAAAGTATTAAATATTATAAGCAGAACTAGAATTTTTAGAGCTAAAAAAGGTCAAAAGAGATAATTAGATCCATCTTCATTTTGGTTTCTGGAATGACAGTTTTCAGTTACCTTAAAAATCGTTCTTTTAATACAAGGTCTCTCGAATAAGAAATCCAACATTGAAAACCCAGGGCTGGAGCGAATAACTGCCATGCTAACCCAGTACCCCCCAGAGCTGCTGGGCCAGATGCTGTCTGGGAATCCAGGCAAGTTCTCCACAAACAGGTCAGCCCCTTCCTTCATCAGGCCAGACCCGTAGAATCTGAAAAATTCACCAAAGTAGGCATGAGCAGCAGTCCCCCAATTTAAGAAAAAATTTTAGTTAAGCACCAAATTGGTCTTGGTTCTATTAAGTTTATGGAAACAACTGTAAACATGTCTATCATGAACACGGCACAGCTCCTGAAAGAGGCACCCAGGGGTCCTAGGCCCAGCTAGACGCAGTTTTGGGGAGGAGAAGGAGCAAGCCAAGACCCACTGGTAGGAAAAGGGACCTGGGATGCACAGTCAGCATTAAATTAAGACTCTCCCAGACTGCAACACTCAAGTAGGCTGAAAAATGAGAGAATGAAAACACATCTTTGAGTATGACTTTTACCGTTGTTACACAAAGGAGAAGGTGCCCTGCCACATCTCAGATTCTGTCAATAGACATCTCCATACCCATTCTGGGAATAAAGAGCACTAGAGAAAATTGATAGCTCAGCAGATGCCACACACACCTTGTTATCCTTGCCATGGTCATCTCTGCCACCAGGATGAAGTCCTCTCCAGGAGAAAGCTGTGCTCCTTTGGGAATCACAACTGGTCCAGTAAAACCTTCACTTCCTTGGCCTCACTATCATACTCTAGCAGGCTGTGGGTGCCAACAGCAAAGGATCACACAAGGAGGGTCCACGGCCCCCACGCTGGGTTGGAATCTTGCTCCCCCTCTGGGCCGGGGCCTATGGAGGGAGACTCAGCCTCTCACTGGAGTGACAGGCCCCTGGTGGTCCTCTGCTCAGATCTTGTTCCAGGCTGGCCCCTGGGCACCCTTCCCCATCAATGGCAGTCCTAGGCATCCTTTTACAGACAACCCCCACTTAGCTCTCTCATTGACCCGGGAGCCACCATGGCTCCAGCCTCACAGGAGTCCCCCTTTAGAGAGACAGTCTGAAACCCAGGCCTGCCTGAAGGTCTCTCCCAGACTGCCTAGGCCACATCCTCACATGAACCGGCCTATTTTTATTTCATTTCATCAAAGAGTAAGTAAGATCATCTTGCTCTGTTTTGTTGCGTCTATCACCTGTTTCCAAAGAAACCATTAATATTTCTGAAATGCTGAAATATTATACTCAGAAACATTCTAACAATTCCTAGAAGTAATCAGCTCTGCTGAAGCTACCCTGCCTGAGTGATGATCTCACTGAGCACAAGATCTGAAATACATACTCAACCGCCCACCATCCGTTCCCTCCATAACCAGAAGCAGATCATCTCATCTTTGCCATTTACTGCTAGAATCCGTAAAATAAATCTTCCTCCCATCCCGAGTTATTGTAAGATCGTTCACAAAGGACATTTTCCTCCCCTCAATGAGTGTGTCAGAGTACAGCAACAGTTTCACTTCACCTGAAGTAGCGAAGAAGAAAAGGAAGGATAGGAAGAAGGAAGGGAGGAAAGAAGGGTAAGAGTTTTGCTTTCATTCTAAGAACCTGTATCTCAATAATTTCAAAATATTAATTAGCCTGATTTTAAAAAGAAAAACTAAAATGAGCTTCTCCATTCATATGTCAGATTTATTCCTTCTTATAGTAAAATAGTGTTTTCCTTTCTTTCACCTTTTAGCTGATGAATTTTTTTAAACCAATTTTTTTAATGAATTTTTGCTTTCATTAAAGCAAAATCCTTCCTCTAAGGATGAAGAATTTTCTTTTATGGAGACCAATGACTTAAAAATCTATCAAGAGTCTTAGTAAAAGGCAATCTTCTGTTTTGAGAGAAATATAACATGTTATACTCATCTGCTTTTAAATAAAGAAAGAAGAGTAGTAGTAAGTTTTTTAAATAGTAGAATGAACATTTATTGTTAAGCTCTTTCCATGTATAATATCATTTAAATCCTCACAACAATCCCACAAAGCAGGCAATTACATTATCTCTATTTCATGGATGAGGAAAGTGTGCACAGAAAGGCTGGGTAACTTCCATCATCACACAGCCAGCCAATGATACAGATAGGCTATCCAGGCAGTCAGTCTTTGGTGCTTAAGCCCAGGGCCCCATGCACCAACCATGATAATAAACTCCTCCATAGCAT